TTTGCACTTCGTTTCCTTCTTACGGATTAAGTTTTACTCATAAGCAATCATGAAAAAATCAGCCAAATACCTATTCGGTTTGTTTCTATCATTTATTGTAGCTTGATTCCCTCGTGCTAGGGACCAAATTGGACTTCATTTTGTAATAGGGAACTACTATCTCTGACTCAACCGTAAAAGCTCGTGGAACTACACACAGAAAGAAAAACCACATAAGTTACTTCTAATGAGCCAGATATAGTGATTCTTTATTACAGAATGTGGTTCAACTAAAGCTACGTTGTCGAGGTACATTTTACTGAATACCCGAATTAAATCAAATTAGCCGATACCATTCAGTTCTTCTGTTTGGTAAAGTGAATTCACTTGATTGAGTAGAAAGCTGATACCAAAGTGGCAAAAAAAAACATTTAGATCGTAAAATTTAACTCATGCGAAATTGAAAGATAAAATAATTGGACGACCGAACGCGGGACGCCTACAGTTTTTATTTTTTTTACATATAAGTACATTTTATTATTTCTAAGACGTAGAAAGCCCCAAAATGAAGCACAAAAACAGTGAAATGTCTGGTTTACATTTCATGAAGCCTAGACCGCATTCANGGGGGGGGGGGGGGGGGGGCAATGCCATTTAGACTTAGTTTTCAGAGAACGAGGTTGAAGCTCTTAAAAATACATTAGGACTTTTGGGAGACATAACGTTTAAATGGACATTGCAAGATTTCGGTTTTAGTTTTCTCACATATTATCCTTCAGGAACGGTCTCATCCCAAATTGATATCGATTCATTTTTTCAAAAATGTTGCTTCGTTACTTTTTCTAAATAACGTCCATTTCATATTCAGGGTATCAGAGTATGATGAAGTTGCATCGCAGATAGAGTGAAATTTCACGATTTTTTTTAGGGATACCCCGTTCTTGCTGAAAGTTCCTCCCACAGACTCACCACCCGCTACCAAATATACGCTTCAAACTTTTTTGGAGCCCACAAGCTTGAGGAGCTGGGAGGCCAGGACCACTTTTGGTTTTAATCTCATAAGTGGGACAAATTTTTATGTTTTTCCCATGTTAAGTCAAAATGTCCGACTTACCGCTTCCGCATGGTGATAGAAAAACAACGATGCTAAAATAAACAAACTGAGGCGTAAGGATTTAAACTTTTTGGGCTTCATCCTAGAGATGAGCTCTCCTCTCGCGCAACGATCAAGAATGCTGCTCATATCTGGATGACCTATGTGAATAAAATTGTGAGAAGCCAGTGTAGGTACAATATTAGGATGAATCATAGCCGTGGCGTGGCGTGCTTTGCGATATATCGATTGTTATGCCATTTAAACCTCTGGAAAAGGATCGATAAACAGGGCGTTCGCAGCGAACACCTGAATAATCGATTATTTACCACAGGTTTAAATGGCAGAACAATCGATACATCGAATTTCACCCTACGCCACTGAATCATAGTTGCTAAATGACGAGGAGAGCTGAAAAAGAATACCGCGTGAGAAAAATCACGGAATCGCGTTTTTTTGGCCACGAAAAATTAATTACAAGCTCCAATCTCGTCGTCCCGTCGTCCCGTCGTCCATTTTTTTCTGGTGCGACTGCGAAACCAGAGCATACAAAATGGAAGATAAAAGTCGTCTCGTCCATTATCTTTCTTCATTTCGCCGTAGGTAGAAAAAAATGAATAAAAAGCTTCTTGGAAATATGGAAACTACACGCGCGAGAACTTTCATGCTAACTCTGGTATTTTGGAATTTGCGACAGCTTTGGAGGAAGCTGACCTTATAAAGTGATTTTACGTGACCTCGGTACGAACCTCAGCACTACGCTGCGCTGTTATGCGGTTTGTGTCTTTGAGAAGCAATAAATATCGTTACGTACAAGTTAATGCGTGAAACTGATCCATAACGTGTAGCAGCATTCTTACTGAGTAGAATGACGTCAACCTTGTGAGAATTCGTAAAAAATTTAAAACTGAGACTACCATAACCGTATCATTGTCGGCCTCCTGTGGTGTAGTGGTTGTAGCGCTTGCTCTATGATCGGGAGGTCCCGGGTTCGATTCCCGGCCAGGCGACCCGAGTTTGATGGTCTCAAACAATGGTTGCCTGGGACTGGTTTAGTAGGGACGGAGGAGGGATGGGACTTAAAAGCGTGGGATTAGCTCTTGTTGGGCTATTTGTAGTAGTAAAAAAAAAAAAATAAAATAACGGACGCCACTCATTAATTTAATATGTCGGAGAGTGTTTATTATAACGTTATCTCTCTCCCTCCCCCTCTCCCCCCTCTCTCCCTCCTCTCTCCCTCCCCCTCTCCCCTCCTCTCTCACACACATTGGATCAATAGGTGACATCCGTTATGATAGTTTTCGATGTAAATTTTAAATGAAATCCACAACTTCGATGATATTTTACTCTTAATGCTGCTTCATGCTGTGAATCAATGTCTTGCATGATCTTGTTCATTACGATAATTATTGATTCTAAAAGACAAAAATCATTAGGCAGCACAACGTGGTAGCAGATCTTGTCCCTAGCTCGCATAAAATCACATTAATTGGACTTGGGTAAATTATTAGGAAGAGCTTTTTCTGTCGCATTGGACCAAATAATCGGAGCTCAAACTTTGAATGGAGTCCTTAGTAATCCACAGAAGAAGAATTAATGGATCAATTAATTTCTCGCACCAAAAGAGGACAAAAAGAATGCATTGAAACCCTGCTCTGCAGGAAAATTGACCCTCAAATACAGTGTAATGCTCTATATGTATAGAGATAAAGCAGAAAGCTGAATGAATTTGGTGAATTGCTTTAGCTGGATTAAAAAGAACCATATTGACAGTGAAATCCCTTCTACACTCAAAATATTTCTTACTCTCACCAGAATGCTAAGCGCTTAGGCCACATATTGGATTTCCACATTTGGCACAACGGAAGTATCAGGTCAGGGCCAGAAGTTGAGGTTATTTGGGCCCCCAAATTGTGTTGCAGGATGCCCTACATCCTTCTCACCTGGAAGAGGGGAGAGGGGGCTCTAGGAAAGGATCGCCCAGTAGAAAAGGGTCCACCAGACCTCAGCCTAGCTTGGAATTTTGACCATTTTCAAAGGCAATTTTTGAAAAGCACTAATGAAGAACGGATGGAAAACTCAGTCCAAAAATTGCACCAGCATTTTAGTATTATTTTACATACAAGTTCTATATTTTAGTTGCTTCTCATGAATTATTAGAGATAAAGGTAAGACTATCCATTCGACGGCTATCGATTGATAAAAGATTTAAATCGGGGTAAATTTGAATTGTTTAAAAGTTTCACGTCAAAATGACATCGTCCTACTGTTTCCTCTGCTCCTTCATAAAAGCTTAACCCTGATATCAGTGACTGCACGTAAAACTTACTATGAAAGAGTAAAAAAGCAGGGTTTTGTCAAGAAGGTAGTCTACCCATGGAAATGTCAGTGCGTGCGGAGAGGTAAACTATAAAACGAAAACTTTTGATAACGGAACGCGTGCGGAATTCAATTTTACGCATTTTCAATTCAATGAGGTTTTTGGCATCATAGTAGTGGCTGTATCGCAAAAACTCAGAACGAGATACTCCAAATCGAAATAAAAGAATAAAACGTTCGCCCAAAAAAAAGGAAAAGAAAAGAACATAAAAAACCGACATCGCAAGTGTCTTCTTAAGTGTGTATACGTCAATATTTTAGATCAATACTAACCAAGCAACATGTTCTGTTCAATGCTCAGTGCAAAAAACAAACCCCAATTCAATCACAGTCAACAGACTGTGACCCGGTTTTCGGAATTTCTCGCACACACACCAAGAATGCGAACTTTTCCGAACCATCAGGTGCGTCGTGCGAGATTTCAATTTGGACGTATTTCTGCCGAACGGAGCTATGTGCATTGAGACATGAGCCCTGAGACCCATCAGAATATAAACATAACAGGGCTCACGTCATGATGCACATAGTTCCGTTTGGCAGAAATACGTCCATTTGGTGTACTATACGCATGAGCACACTGAAAAATGAGAAGTTACAAAACAATCTCTTCGTCTGCCTTGGTCTTAATGCACTCTCAAAACTGCGTCGATTTTTCAAAGTAACTTTTTTTGCTTTTATTTTTTGTGAGATTCAAAGAATCATGCTAAAAATTACTTTGGTAAGTAATCGCCAGTAGATCCCGTTTTGCCGACTTCTTTGTGAAACCTGTTTACAATGAATAACGTTTCACATACGCAAAATATTCACTGGGTGTCTATAAAATAGTTCCACAAATTCAGAAGAAAATATGGAGGGTGCTTTTTGGAGATAGCTTTTCTTGGAAAGACTCCAAAGTTGAGGGAGGAGGCCATTAAAATTTTCAAATGATAACCTCTGTCCTGTCCATATGGTGCATAAACACCCTCTTCAACGGTAAGTCTCTGTCGCCGTGGCCCGTTAAAGAATGCCTGTAAATAGAAAAACCTGTTTGATGCAACAATTTAAAAGTATTTTAACCTTAAAATTCATAAAACTGGGTGATTTTTAGGCAGAAATTGAAGGAAGATTAGCGCCACAAGTGCCTCGAGATGCGCTCAAATAGAGTTAAAATTTCAACAATTTTAACTCCCTCGGACCCCCCGGTGGTGGGGGGCCAGGCCCCCCCAGCAAAATGACCTACCTACGCCTATGCCCTTAAGAATATATGTATAACAGGGCTCACGTCATGATGCACATAGTTCCGTTTGGCCGAAATACGTATCGTTATTTTGTTTTTCCATGCTAAAGAATAGGAACCTACGTCACGAAAGCGTTACGCAGGGGAGGGGGTTGACAATTCCCAAACGTTACGTATTTTATGAATGGCAAGAGGTAGGAGGAGTGAGGTATTGGAAGTGACAGGGTGCAGGCAGATTAATATGCCAAAAAACGTATTACAGACGCTCTATCATGATACACTTAGAAACATTCAAGAAAGTCGTAAATTAAACTTGACTTTGTGAAATTTCAGCCTACTACATCATATTTCTATCCTTCGACAACCCTAGTACACCAGACGGAGTGGACGACACGGTGAGCAATCCAATGCCAAACCCAGTTGAGGCTGGAATGGCCATGTTCCTCATGTCACTCAACACTTTCGGTGACTATTTTAGCGCCTTTGAAAAAACCGAACACGAGCTAGAGGCTAAGGTGAGTTGTATACCGCATTGTCCCTTTATCGAAAAGCTCTCAATTAAACTCCAATGAGTTACTCTGATAGCAAAGAAAATGTTGAAAGTTGTACTGATCAGTGTATGATTGAAAGAAATTTTGAGGCCTTTAAACATCTCCTTATAGGTACAAATCTCTCACCAATGTCTAAAAAGCCGAAGTATCTACACTAATTATTTGATCTCAATGGTTTTTTTTTGGTAGGTACGAATATGCATGACACAGCTTCATATAGGAATACAGAAGAGCAGTTAAATATCGGCGAATATTCATTCTTAAACGCGCGTATAAAGTTCTCCTGCAAAATTAGGAATATGGGCGACTCTACACGACTGCTTTATTAAAACAGTCATTATTTAAATTTAGACAACGCATCAAGCGTTAATTTATAAGGCACTTTAAATAAATGGTATTTTCTGTTCAAAGTCAATGTGCTAAGGGAGTATTGCTTCGCCAAAGATATTTTACATTAATTTATGTGAGTATACGAAAATCATGCAAAGGAGCATGGATATATTTAGCATCAATATCGTCAGTCGGATAATGCGAATATCCTTGAATAGACGACTATTGCAACAAAAAGTATGTGTTTTCTGACAAACCTTAAAATTTGAAGGCGAATCTTCTATTCCTGTCCAGGGCCGGATTTAGGAGGTGGTCACATGGGCCGTGGCCCATGACGGCAAATTTTGCAATTCTTTTTAAATGCGGTATGAAAAAAAATCGGATTCAAAAAAAGAATTACAAACGAGAAAAGGCGACAAAATCTCTCATTTCCTGAGCGTATAGCGATTTCTAATTTTGTCGTCTTTCGGTGATACAAGGGACAGCACCATTAATTAGTCGAGTTGAGAGAGAAACCATACACGCAATTTGGGCTGCAACGGCGCGGCGCAGGGAGCAATGATGACGAGGACTTGCGATGAAAAGGAGAAGCCCTCGGCATGAAACACATATTAGCGCTTACAAGACTGCATGAATACTTCACGCATTGCGTCAAAAACAGTGCGGTCAGCAGCGGTCGGCGTGAAACGTATAGCGCCTACAAGACTGTAGGAATACTTCACGCATTGCGCCATACACAGTGCGGTCAGCGAGGCGCTGCGGCGGAAGTTAAAATTATGAAACCCCATTATGTTCGTTCTTTCATAATTTTTTCGTTCTTTCATAATTTTTTCGTTCATTTCTTATAAATGGAAGGCCTTGTCCACACAGATTTAGGTTTACAGAACTTAACTTTCGCGCAAAGTTCAGTGAACTTTCGCTAGTAATGATGACAGGGATTTCGCAAAAAATGTGTCCAACACGAGTAAACGCGTCTTATGCACCCCTCCCACTCTCCCTCCGGCACGTTCACTTGATGGTTTTTAATGATGTTTCAAAACAAATGAGAAGTGGGCGGCAAAATACAGGCGGCCCATAGGCGGCAAGTAGGTAAATCCGGTCCTGTCCTGTCAACAAATGAGAACTTAAAGGGGAAAAAAGCTCTTGAAATGGAAGATAGTTATAGGACGCCTTATTGTTCTTTTTTTAAATAAACCTAGTGTTGAGATCCACGCAAAAAAATTTTTGAAAAAGAAAAAATCAAGATTTTTTTAATCTTAAACATAGTGTTTAGGTGAACGTCGCATCGATGCAGTACAGAAACTAAAAACCGTAAAATCATTCTTGAAAGTTATTAAAATAACGTTATAAGAAACTGGTGAAAGTGCAGGGAGCATTTTTGTCTCTTTTTAACAGTACAAAAGAGCAAACAGGTTTCTAGATTGTATATATATTTTGACAATGAGCGAGTCAACATATTTTCAAAATTAATTGCTTAATATTAATTTACACAGTTCTTAAAACTTTCAATCTGCTACCAATCAACCGGAAAGATCAAAAATGCCTTTCTAATTTTTTTCAGGTATGCTTTGTAATATTCATGGGTATCGTTGCCATTCTACTGGTTAACATGTTGATTGCTATGATGGGTAACACTTACCAAAAAATCGCAGAAACCCGGAATGAGTGGCAGAGACAGGTCAGTTTCGGTTTTATCGTCCTGTATAATTAATATGATCGTATATCACACCTCCTCCACGCCATACCATTGAATATTATTGACATGAGCATTTTGAGCTTCATACCACGTACAGAGTTGGGGGGAGGGGGGGGGGTTCTAAATGTTTTCTACCTAGTTTCCCTGCTGTAAATAAAATCATATTTAAATAACCATTTTTCTACGCATATCGACGATGAAATTGCAAAAATACGTATCTCGGCTGCAGTGTTTCAAAATTTCCGATTATACTTTCCTTTCCTAAAAAGAGACCCAAACAAAATTTGGACTTAAAATTGTCATAAAATATTCACCGCAGAGAATAAAAATCACCGAAGTTTTTATGAAATGATGTTCGGTACCTTTCCAATGAGAAAGTCAAGTATGACAGGAAGTTTGCGACGCCGCACAGTGGATTGAGTCAATGGTAGAGGTCGGACATGATTTAAAAACTTAAAAAGCACATTTCTTTATTGATATGAAATGTTGAGGCTTTAATAGTAGTTTCATTGGTTTTCGCGTAAAATTTTCTGTGAGAAGCACCCCTAAAAATTAAACTTGTGACGAGATAATCGTACATTTTTACAATTTTTGTTAAAAATTTCATGTCCGACTTGTTCCGAAGACTCGTTCCAATGTGCGTCGTGCCTAACCGAGACACGCATTTGTGTAGCTTCACTATCGATACATGCGGTGGCAATAAAATCTGCGAGAAAAAAACATGTTCAATTTCAGATTAAATAAAGATCCATCGGGGAAAATGAATAAAATAAAAAATTAAATTCTGGGAAAAATAAATAAAAAAGGGAGCATTAAAAACTAACGCGACTTTGCTACCTTCAAGGATACTTCCCGGTGAGCCACAAAATCGCTCGTTATATCCTCCTCGGATAAACAGAGTTAGAAGTTACCTACTTTGTTTCAACAAAGGTTAAATAACCGTGGCGGACATCAAGTTATCGTACTGTTCATAGCCGATAAGATGTCTTGCTTTTTAGGCATATTCTTCTTTGAATTTGAATTCCGATGAATCTGAAATCAGCAGACACTGAAAAAAAATATAGTAGATTTTATCATACTCTGACAAAGTAATCCGAGTATGATAATAAATACCAGACTCTATGGTAGCATTCATCATACTATGGTAAGTCACCAGAATTCTGGTGAATATTGCTATAATTCTGGCTACTTCCACTAAATAGTATCACAGCGTAAAAAATAAAGCAGACTTATAGTAGGTGTTACCATCCTTTTTTTTCAGTGTAGCCCAAATTTTTCCAATAAAAGTGCATATTTCCCTTTTTGATCTCCTTTTACTGTTATCCAGTGGGCCAGAATTGTTTTGGTTGTTGAAAGAGGAGTCCCACCGAAAGAGCGGCTAACTAAACTCATGTGGTACTCACAACCTATGTCCGATGGCAGACGTGCGTTGGTCTTGCGCCTCAATCAGACGGTAGGTTTATTCGGACAATAGTCATTTGGCAAAATAGGAGATCTATTTACACGCATTGAGAAACAACTCATACAACCTGCCGAAATGCTAGATAAAATGTGCTTTTATCAAAACTCTGCATATTGAGATCACTTCAGCTAAATGACTTTTCATTTATTTATTTTTTAATTTTATTCAATTCTGCAAGCGCTTTATTTTCGCGCAACGCTGATATACGAATGTAACGAAGGACAAATCAATGGAGAAACTCCAAAACCGTGTATCTCGTTTGCGGTTTTCAAAAATCTTCGCTCCTCTTTTGAATTTGTACAGGAGGACATGTATTTATGGTTTTTTTTTTTTTTGGTACTTTTTTCAAAATTTGCCTCGCGCAGAGCAGGGAAATCACGGGAGTTCTTAAAAATTGTGGGTAGTATTGTCCTTTCAAGAAATAAAGTATGATAACGTCGCAAACCAAGATACGTGGTTTGGGAGTTTGACAGTCGAAGTGTTTTCTCGGGCGGAAAAATTGAAACAGCTCGACCGGCTCTTTCAACGGCTTGCGATGCAACTATTCGTGTTCTCAGAATGTCCGTGTTGTATACACAAAAATTGAAGGCGCTCTGATTTCCAAAGGCACAACGTACGGCGTAGCGTAATACGGCGGACTGCGCGGTTGTTATTTTTGGAGGATATGGATTCGATCGAATATTGAAAACGTGAATCGATCGACAAATTTTTAAAAAACCTGTGTCGATTCAAATCAAGCACATGAATCGATCGATGTGAATCAATCAACACCGATTCGATCGACAGTTAATTTAAAAAAACCCGTGTCAATTCGATCGATTCACGGGCTTGTCAATCGACTCACGGGTTTGTGGATCGATTCACGGTTGTCGATCGAATCGGTGTCTATTGATTCACGTCGAACGATTCACGTTTTCATTTTTCGATCGATTTATGTCGATCGAATCCATACCCTCCGTTATTTTTCAAGGGTTTTCTACGTTTCCTTTACAATCTTGTCTACCGTGAAGTCCTCGAAATGTGGAGGAGTCATGAAGCATCAGCGGCAAATTGCGTTTAAATTATGCAAATTTTCGCAAATCATCCGCCAAAAAAATTTCCACAAAGACATTGCGGCTGTCAAACCCGCAATTTGCGATTGATGACATTACCGCAATTTCCGTTTTGCGCTCAGAATTGGTTGTGATTAGAATTTTTATCGGATAAAATGCCAAAAAACACTGAAAAGCCAGAGGAAATTTGGGAATTTTTATGTTTAAACTATCGAAAAGTCAGAGAATTAATAAATGTACGAAAACTTGTCACTCTCTTACGGCAATGATCACCATAAGGTCGAGATTTCGCTCGTTTTCGCCAATAAAGGTCCCGCAAATTGCACTACTTGGCAACGCTGCTACATACGGAAGATAGAAAATAATTGATAGGATTCGATTTGGACTTATGACTCCGAAAAAATTAAATGAACAGATTCAAAAGAAGGTGAAGTGTATAATCGCCGATAAAGTCAGGCAAGTAATTTCAGTATGAATAACCTCCATTTCGATTATAAATATTTATTATTATTGACGTATTTCTTTTTAAGATGCATTAAATACTCAAACCGAGCTTTCTTCATGCCACGACGATGTAGGAATCCAATGAGTGACATTTTGTTATCACAAGCGGGAAAACTTTAAGGAGCTGACCAACTTTATCAATAGCAAGGTCTGGATACAACTATTCGTGTTCTGAGGATGTCCGTGTTGCATACATAAAAAATTGCAGGCGCTTTGATTTTCTTCGGCACAACGTATGGCTGTGGTTGATTTACTCGAGGGTTTTCTTGCATATATGATCGTGTTTCCCATTGAATCCTCGGAGTCCGAATGAGACGTGAGGTATCACGGCAGCGTTGCCAAATAGTGCAAATTTTTCACCAAAAACCTTTCCTCAATGGCGTCGCGGTATCAATCCTGCAAAGTACTACCGATAACATTTTCGCAATTTGTAATATTTTGCAACGCTACCATAGTGCTACACGACTCATCTCAATTTCGGAGATTTCATGGTAAACACAATTGAGGGGCTTGGAGGACAAGGCGCATAAGTGCAGTTTTTGAAAATTTTGAGATATTAATGATTTCGAGTAAAACTAGTCTTGATGCATTTTCTGTAAAACATTCGAATGTTAAAAAAACCCTGCGGAGGAATTCAATTTTTGAGCATAATATAATCAATTTGAACTTTCTCTCTGCCATAAGGATCCATGTAATTTCGAACTTGTATTTCTCAAAATAGCAAAAACTGCACTTATGCGCCTTGTCCTCCATGTCCCTCAATTGTGAATGCAACGTAGAAAACCCTAGAGCGCAAAGTATCTTGAAGCGAAAAAATGCATACTTAGGCAGGAGCAAAATTCCCTATTGAGTTGATTTCACAAGACTGTTGAACTCAATGAGTGAACTTAGACTTTTTCTGAAGCACTCACTTGCATTGTTAATAATGTCAAACATTAATATTTAATGTGTGACATATTTCGAGAGTTTTGGATATCATTAGAAACACTTCCGTTTTCTGCAAAGAATTTTGATGAGGAACCATTAAGTAATTGAAGTGTTGACATTTTCTGAGGGTCCATTGTTTACCCACGAAGCCTTGTAAATTTGACTTTCCTTAATTGCTTATTTCACCTAAAACTAATCTAGTGGGAGACATGTCCACCCTTCTGAATATTTTTCTCATTTATGTCTGCACAACTCACCATACTCAAATTGACAATGAATGCCAAAATGAAAAAGACTTGGGCGCAGGAAAATATGATGGAGCTGGTTCTCATTTGATTGCTTAGTTCCTGACTATAAGTACGGAAAAGGGACCCGTGCTTACAAAGGGATCTTCATATTTTCAACCTGTGTTCTCATTTGATTTTAAATCATAGGATCAGTGCAGAATAAAAGAACAATATTCATCTCATACTTAATTGTGTGAATGTATCATTCATCAAGAGAATAATCAAGGAATAAAATTTTCATTATGGGAAAAATTCATTATCAGCTGAAAGCTGCCGAAAAGATTTTAGTCGAAAGGGGAGTAACCTCGTCTCGAGTAGTTATTTTACTTCTTGTGGTAATCGACGTAACAAAATCATGCTTCCATCTGATATTTTAATTGGAGTGTTTTATTTGCTTTACTTGATTCCAGGAGCAAGACAAAGAGGAGATGAAAGAGATTTTAGAGATGAAGCGAGTGCACAACCGAATCGTGGAGAAGCGGCAAAAGCGACTGGCAAAGCTGTCCAACAATGCAAGCCCCTCTAACAAGCCTCTAGTTGACCTGCCAAACCTTTCGAACCATGATTCCCCTACAAAGCCTCTCCTCGACCTTGCCAGTAACCTCAGCAAATTTTGAGTCTGACCATCCTGGCAAAATATTATCTCCATCCAAGCATATTTTATTTTAATGACAGTTAATTTCCTATTTCCTTCTTCTTTTTTTGACAAAGAATCTATTTTTAAGTGAATATACAAGATATACACTCATATTTTGGTATTTTTATTTCTCTTTGGTAAGAATCGGCCGATAATTTAGGAGCTATGATTCCTCCAGTCAGTTCTGTCCCCATCACCTTCCGCTCGTCCCAAAGTATCACAAGCGCTATTGTTGAGAAATTGGAATATAGAAAAACGTTTTGGGGTTTGGGACTTTTCTGGTTTAAAAATTACAATTTCAAAAAATCTATTGTCAATTGTTAGTTTAAATTTGCTAGAGAAACATGCTTTTCACAGGCGCCATAAGGTCTTAAAACAGAGAATCACCAGTGCCAGGATCTAATGTATTCAACGAAAAATAATCAGTAACACAAATTCAAATTTTCAAAATTTGTTTTACTTTAAAAAGTCTCTAAATTTACAAAAAGTATTTCAACAGATCAACATAAATTTTAATGACTAAAATACAAAAAAAATTACAGGGAACTGGATTGAACTTTCAAACTGCATCGCACAATGCTGCAGACGCTTTTCATGGTGACTTCACCATTGAGATTCTGTTATATTGAATTGAATCCAAACAATAACAATAATATAACCTCTTTCAATTATACCGATCAAGCAAACCGTACCGATCTAAAAAATCAGTATATATACATATATATCACTTTCCTATGATGATCAAATCACCATTCATCATATTATGTACAGGGGTACATTCTGTGGATGAAATTGAATACTTAAAGCTACATATTCACAGGTTGTCTTCAACTTTTAATCGTTTCATACAATGATATCATAAAAAAATAAACTTTTCACGTATAGGTATTCAAGGACTGTCTAGGAATTACTTGTGTCTTTCAATGCTATAATTAAAACTGCCTTGACACATTTTAGGTTGTACTTGATGTTAAAAATAAAATGTCTAAAAATGTAGCAAAAAAAAATATGAAACCATCGACATAACTCGATTATCTCTCTGGTGATGTCCCTAACAAAGCTATCCTGCAATCAGTTACTGTAGTCTGTTGGCTCATGCTTTTGTACAGGCTGCTTTACTGAAGGATATGCTATACATAAAAAAAAAAAGAAAAGAAAAGAAAAGAACTACACTTTACTAATGGTCTATTAAGAAACAGCATGCTGCAACCTTTTCCTTCGTTGAGGTAGATTAACAGTCATTATTGGGCGATTTTCATTACATATCTTTCTTTTATTTGATAAATCACCTTTGATTTATTGCAGAGTAGATTTAGCAAAATAAATCTTAAAATAATTACCTAACCAACACTCAAGTTGTTTCATCAATTTATCATTCATCCCTGTTTGGTAGGGTGTTAGGATTACTAGAAGGCTACGAGTGAGTAATAACATGGACAATAGTGGAGATTACTCTTTTTCCTGTTGCATGATGGGTTAAATCTATACTTGGATCCTTGATTTTTTCATTCAAAAGTGCTAACAATTCTACTTGAAGTGCTTTCAAAAGTTCAGCAACCTGAAAAAAAAAAAGAAGATGAAAGCAATCAATATACAGTCTTAATGCAGCTTAGAAAAAGAATATCCAGCAAGGTGCACAGTGCATACTGGAAAAGATAATGCTCAAAGCTAATACATGAGGGTAAACCTTAACAACCTACACTTAACTGATTTTTTCTCTACATCTCCACCTGTTGGACTTAAAAAGATGTATCTATTTTCTATTTTTACGTACTACAGTTACTTAAAATAGTACCCCTATCCAAGGATAAGGATTCAGGGATAACCAAAATGTGAATGCTTCCTATGGCAAGATGCCCCGTATGCATGAAGTTTGTAATTCCATGCTTTCTTTTGAAATTTTTAATTTTAACTGTTAACTTTCTAGTTTGGCCTGTCAAAAGCCTAATTTTTTTTTTGCATTTTAATATCTGACCAAAATCTGAGTCAAAATCGATGGTCCGATTCAATTAGACTGAAAAGAGTCAAATATTTGAAAAAATCAGCTTTATTTGTGAGACCTTGGTCAAATCACATCTTGGCTGCTTATTTTGCAATGTAACAAGCCACTTTATTATTTACCTGCATTTTATGCTGTTACAGCAATATACATACATACATCATGGTAAGAGCAACTGAAAGAGCTATCATGTTCATAATATATGGCCCTGAGTTGGTGCTCTTTCGAAAATTGTTGCCGCAGATCTGTCATCAGGATATAGCACATACAGCAATGGTCTGTGGGCCCGCAGTAAATATACTTAAAATGTCCCTTGACATGTTCATACACTGGGCCCTTCAATTATAGCATAAATTTTGTCCATTCCTTCAAAAAGTAGTTCATATATTAAATGTAAGGCCATCTGGAAGAATGAAAAACTCAATTTCTCTAAGTAAAAAACAAAACCAAATGCATTTGCTTTCTTGTTGAGAAAGTTGAATTTTAGTAAGATGATTTGAAAGGCAGACATACCATGTGAGACTTGGCAGTAAACATGATCCAGCCTTTTTCCAATGATATCACGAAAGTTCCTGAATGAAGCTCCACATCTATTCCAGAGCCACAGAAAAGAACCAAAGGTAGGCCTTTGACCATTGTGCAGTCTCGGACATAAATTTTACTGGTCTTGCACTTTTCTTGAAATACCAAATACGGACTTGAGAATTTATTCTTCTTTGCAAATATACTGGACGGGTGGATACTGACCTATTACAGAAAAAATGAAATGCCGTGAGAACCTGAAGTTAATACATATATACCATGAGAAGTCAATAATATACGTTTTATCGAGGTAGAGCAATAACAAATGATCCTAATTTAGATATTCTAATAGCAAAATTCTAAATAACGCCTTTTAAAATTCAAAATTAAAAAGAGACCTTCAACTTTAAAAATTATACATCTCCTCCCCTCATATTAATTAACAATTAAACCAGAGTACGTTTAGGTCAAAACATAATATATATTTCCGCATCTAATTTAAGATTTCGAAGGAAAAGGAGTCAATTTTATCGCTTTAAATTTACGCAGAATATTTTTCGAGCAGAAGTGAAATCACAGTAGTTTTCAAAACATTTAGTTCGTTGATTAGTTTTCCAATAAAAAAAAAAGTATGACAAGAAGTATACGACGTCGCAAATTGTTAGCGATTCTTGGCTGTCAATATACTGCCTCTATTAATATCAAATTATGTACATCTAGCTATTCCTCATCATTTACAAATCTAAGTGTTACGTTAAAAATTTTGATATCGATGCAGCTCAAACACAAAATGATGTATGAAAATGGAGGAACATTTTTGCCTATACGTATGCATATAGGGCCCGCAAAGCGGGTCTGAGGGCGCTTTGCGCACTCCAGGGGGCAGAGTCTCCTAGTAATATATATAATCCCATCTTATAAAAGTTGCAAACTTAAACAAAATCGTTTTCTTGCACTCTCTCCATTCGTGAATGTTTTATCCTTGACTAATATGTTAACTTTCTGAAGCTAGACAGCACTGTCATCTTGCACATTCAGAGTGCCTTTTTCTGACTATTTTTTTTAAAATCAATACATAACATAGAACAAGGAAATTTTTTTAATTTGCACTCAATCAATGAGAAATCAGATAAAATATTTGAAAGAGAAAACGATACTTACATAACCATCTTGCTTGGTTTTAAATCTGAAGTCAGCTGCATCAGGAGTTTTGGAAATGACACTCCCAGATGATAAATGAGTATAGGTTTTCTCAGGAGTTAAGACTTTGACAATATTAGGGTAAAGTGCTGCAGCAAGCACAGCAGAAAGTAGAGTTTCATTCCTTCCGTTCTCGTTCAACTGAGGAAATGAAAATAAAAGGTGGTCTCAATGATTTATAATTATGAACAGTTGATGATTTGGATGTCACTGGGCAGCTTAACATGGATTTTGGAAGGTCTTAGCTTCGCCTAAAATTACTTTTGAGAACTAAGTGGTTCCCTGGCAATATAATTAAGCGAGAAAAGATAAAAAAAAAAAATGTTTCTTTTTGGAATTAACGAACTTTTCTGCAAAAAACTATCCGATAATCTACAATGGCACAAGCTACAAGGGGAGAAATAAAACTTACATACATATAAAGCCGCTTTTATAATGCTCCCTGGCACTCTACGACATCTAGCCGCCAAAGTACCCAATCCTCTCATCGCCCTTCAGGGAGTTGGCATACCCTTATTTCTTCTAAAACCCCCTGTCGCCACCCTTTCACTGGCCGAAGAAGATGCTTGATTGGGTTCCTCTTGGGAGGAGACAAAGGGGAAATAAAACTTTAGAATCAAAATTAATTAAACGAACATACATCCATTCATTAAAGTTTAAAGGAATAGAAAAAATAAGATGATATTTTCTCACCTCTTCTCCGGTTATTTCAAGGATGCAGTCTATCTTTGTCCGTTTTCTGATTCGTCCAATATCAAACGGAATAAAGCCAATGCTAGCTAAAAGCTCCAGAAACTGAGCCTTAATATCGCAAATTGCTGTCAAGGTTGTATAAGAGAGGTACTTCGCTCTGGCAAAATTTCTACTTGCTTGGTGCCCGCGTTTAGTTGCACTACACCATGACTGAAAAAGAGAGTAAAACTAATTTGAAAGAGGCAAAAATATATTACAAACACATGAAGCACATCTTAGAGTTTTTCACACCATCTATTCTAATGATATGAAAAAAAATGCCATAGATCATCTACATGAGTAAAAACTGAATGAGCCAGAAGCAACAAATAAAAAAAAATCAATCAATCATTAAATATTGCTGACAGCAAAAGATAATCGAGGCTTTAATTTAAAAAAAAAAAAAAAAAAAAAAAAAAAAAAAAAAAAAAAAAAAAAAAGGCAACAAAGGAAGAACACCAATTTTTTGATTCATCTACTTTCGGGAGCATCCTACCTATTGTACCATGTCATTTTACAAAAACAGACAAAAATAAATAAAATGCTCCAATCACATTTTATTTCAATTTTGGTAGAGCGACCAATTCAAATTTTTAAGGACTGAAATCTTTCAAGATTGGTGTTTAATAATGTTAAGCCAGGCTGGCTCAGGATTAAACGCTTTGCTGGAGACAGGTTGGCCTCGCGGCCTCGTGACTTGGAGACTATCTCAGCCCACTCATACTAATCGTAAGAGGACTCACACTCTGAGGTTAAATTAGATTAAATTAAATGTCGTTAACCTCTACAAAACAAGCTCCATCATGCTTGCTATAGGTACAGGGGAGGGTTCTGATGATATGCACAAGTTGCGATTCCGGCTTCTCTCCCTCCTTAAAACTTTCTCCTTTATAATTTCTGCCTTATCTCTATTCAGCAGTCTGATTTATACCAATGTCAATACCTAATATTGTAAATCAAATCTTTAATGGAGTTTGATAAAGGAATAATAAATAAAAAAAAAATGCTGAAAATGATTAAAATTTTAAAAAAATAGTACTTTTATTGATGATTAGGAAATAATAGAGGCAATGTGTGATATGACAATGTTTGCTCATTACTTGTGGAGGGCATACAGGTACAGAGGATCCTTCATTTTTTAAAAAAAGAAAAGGAAAGAAAATTCATCCACTGACCTTGTACGCTCTTAAGGCAGTTATATGGTCACTATTTTGCGATAGAAACTCCTTCTTGGTTGCATCAGCAGCCTCTCTGTCATCGAATGAAGAAATGAAAAAAGATTTGTGTGACAGAATAGCTGCAATTGTCAATGCTGAGTCAACGCAGCAAAAAATAGCACCAAATAACATCAGCTTTCCGATCCGCACATCAACGGGCAATGCAGCCAAGTGTTTACCCAATGGTGTGAGGTTGTTATGAGAGTCAAATGCACCAACATTCTGAAGCCGGATCATTGAGGACTGCACAACGTCAGGTGGGGGCGGCTCAATCACTCCAGCTACATATTCGGAAAAAACCAATTAATATGTATACATAGGCTGGAAAATCATTACACATGATTTTTCGCCTAGGCCTCCATTGATACGGTAGTGTTAAAGAGTACTACAGTATATCCACCATTTTAAAACTGAATTCAAGAAATTCGAAGCAATTTTGAAATTTTATTATAATTTTCTCACAATATAATCGGTTAACATTACTCATAATCAATTGCTTTATTTATTTAATTTCCTTTTTATAAATGTCGAGCACATAGTTTAGCATCATACTGAAAAAAGAAAGGTCAAGCATAATGTCTCCCCACAACGCACCACAAGGCGGATTTCTGCAAGAGGATTTGATTCATTCAAGCACCCAATTTTAGCGAGCTGCCAACTTTTGAAGGAAAACCCTTGCCAAAAGACATGAACTGAACTCTGTGATTTGATGGCTTGCGACCAACATTTGCATCCATCCATTCGTAAACCCACCTTGGAGGAGGGATGGGGAAGTTTAGATATAGTGGTCATTGTTGCCAATCTAAAAACCAAATGTTGTAGGCGCACCTTCACCTCATATTCACCATATGCACCAAGCGTATTTCGTTTTTTTGTAACTGAAGTTGGCAGTGAGTCAAACCCTAAACCAAATCCACTTGCGAAAATTTGCCTATTAAGCCAGCATTTGTTTGCAGCTTCAGCCTTGTCTAGCTGTGTCAAAACTGGAAGAAAGAGGGTGTCAAGAGATAGATTTTTTACAACCCTTCTGAATGATCAAAGAAAGCTTGTGACACTTAAACTTCCGGCAAATTCTTTAAAGTCAGTGGTTTTTTTTCAAACTGTAAAAACTTTGTGTGTAGATTTAGAACGTCATCCAGGCATATAGCGATATAGCGATTTGGACAATCTCACTGCAAGGCCAGACTTCTCATATTTTCACTAGAGGGGGTAGATTTTAGTCATTTCTCTGAGCAATACTGTTTACTAGCGATTTACAAATGAGTGACAGTAAAAATCAATGAAAAAGCTATTTATTGGGCTGGATTCACAATTTTTGGGGGGTTGTTGTTCTCCTAAAGGCACCTATTGCTTTCTGATATGAGGTTTACAGATGACTCTCTAAACATGCTGTGACAGTGGTGTCTTTACTTGGAATACAAATCATGCTTAGTAAAACAAAAAAAAACAATTACCCAGCACATCTTCAATTCGTCGATCCTGCAAAACAGGAATGGTCTTAATATTTAATAACAATGACTCAAGAGGTGCTCGGTGCATTTCAGGTAGTGGCTGAGCATCAAGAACACAGTTGAATCGGTGCTCGGTGAAGAGATGGAAGGCTGTGCCTGACCTGACTCGACCAGCACGTCCCTTTCGCTGAAGGGCGTTGGCACGTGATACCCAAATAAGCTCCAGACTCTCCATATTTTTGTCCGGATCAAAGCGTTTTTCCTTCATTCTACCAGAGTCTATCACATACGTGCAGTCATCAATTGTGATTGAAGTTTCTGCTACATTGGTGGAGAGGACAATTTTCCGTTTACCTCTTGGAGGTTTCCTAAAAAGACATGAAATTTAAAATTATCTTTAATTTGAAAATGGATGATTTTCACAGGCAGTGCGCAGCTAACTCTGTCAATTTTCGGAGTGAATCTTGCAGGGAACATGCTTTACCAATGACGTAAATGAAAAAATGTTTTTCTTTTTAAAGTGTGATTTATTGTTTGAATATCGGCTGGTCGCCAAGCGGCCGTCACCGGCTAGAACGCAAAATGGGAGATCAATTTGGCAACAACGCGTTCTAGGCCCTAATTTTTCACAGCAATGTTCTAAATATATCTGTACTACATTCAAGTGATATCTGTAAATGATCTTCAACCATCTTCATTCACAAAAATGCGATTTTTTTTATATTTTTATCAGTTTAGCCAATGGCGATGGCAGTTTAGAGCCGTACTGGGGTTTCGGGCGATACAGCACCATTTTTAAACCAAAAAACTGTGCTTACACTGAAGTTTTTGACAAAGCTTGTCCTTCAGAAATAGCACTTCAAAAGTTTAACAGAGAAAGCCGTGTTTTTATTGAGTAAGAGAAAAAAATTTGAGCGCTAAGTGTTGTTACTAAGTTTGACACATCTTCAAAAACGACGATCTTGCCAAACACCCCCACAGTCAAGTCTCACCAAAATGAGAGAAAATGTGTCACTAAGTTGAAATTTGGCTTAATACTTTTCATTTCTCCTAGTTACACCTCCTAGCAGTGGAACCCGAATATTTTCTGTCGTTGCCAAGTTATAACAAAATTCAGGTTTTTGGGGGTCCCCCATTGTACAAGTTAATTAACAATGATCAATAATAATAAAATCAATTAAGATTAATGTTGATATGCTCATTTTAATAGGCGATCAGTTAGACCAAAATTTGAAGTTTCTGCGTAAAAATAAAAGATCTTTACCTAAAAACTTGAGCCTGCTCCTCGTTTGTTAACGTTGAATGCAGAGGAATAAGGATGAATCTTCCATCATCTCTTTGCGGACATATTCTAGGATTGTCACTTAGCATTTGCATCATTCTCTTTATCTCAAAAAATCCCGGTAAGAATACCTAATAAAGAAAAAAAGCTGTTGAATGAAAAAATGCAAGAATGCACAATTTTGATTGTAAACTATAAATAAAAAATGATGAAAAATAATAATGAAACAAAAAAATAAAATCAGGAGTGTTTAGACCCCTTATCAACTTAGATATGTTCTCTGTAATTCTCTAAAACCATGAAAACATCTGAAACATTTAGTGATCTCCTAAAACATACTCAGTGGTGTGTAATTTAACTCAACTTTAAAAGTTTAAAAAAATTGTTAAATTAAAAAACGTGTACTGGTTTGCTTGATACCCTCTTCTCTTCTCTTACTACCTGCTAATTCCTTTCACATGCAGGAGATAACCGGAGATTTTGCGTTTAAAGTTTTCAAAAAGTGTCATCATAATTTTCTACTTTTAATGTTGTCAATTTTTAATTTAGCAAAAATGCATAGGAAAAAATCAGTGACTGTATCTGGTAAAAAAAGTTTTTCTACCATATGTTCTCCTTTGACTTATGTTAAAGATAAATAAAAAGGGTAAATACAATTACCAGAATAGAACCTTCTTGCGGGAACTCTGATGAAGGGTCAGTAATCTGAACAATAAGTGCTTCTATCAATTCATAATTTATTTTTTCTGGGTCCATGATAAATAAACTTTTTCTGGTTTGTTTGCTGAAAGCTGAAAGAGAGCAGATATTCTTGCTATTAATTTGGACATGTAGCGCTAGGTGTTGATTGCCATTCAAGTTTTCAAACTTTTATACTAAAATCTGAATATCACCATGAAGACGGCCAGAGTTTTGGGCCATTTTCTGGGAAAATTGTTTCACAAAACAATTCAAGCCTGAGCAATTCACGAAACTGAACACACTTGTTTTAATCATCCGTTTTCATTCAGAAATGTTCATGTAATGGTAAACTTTATTTTTATTTACTGTTGTGCATTTATCCTTCTGGAATTAATAAAATTATCATCTAGAAAACAAATGCACACTCAATTTCATTTTACTTACCTTGATAACGAAAAAACAACTGTCTACAACTCAATCTCTCGTCAGATAATCTATCATTCAGTAAGTATCCATTATCTATCAGAGCATCTGCGACTTCAAGTTCTTCCTCTAGTTCGTCTATTTCTCGGCCTTTAGATTTTCCAATTTTTCGACTGAACTCCGAATTTTCCTCAATTGGATACTGACACAACTCCAAAACATTCTCAAGGAAATACTGATCTACTGGAAATGTCCTTCCTGTAGTAATAAACAAAAAAACAGATTTAGAAAGATCACTTCTTCGTACATTAAATTGCAGAATTAGGTTCAAAAATGGTAAATTGTTTAAGCATGAGGAAAAGTACTGAAAAAAAATTAACTAAACTTGGAAATTCAGTTCATCAATTTTTGTAAAAAAGTCTTGGTTTACAGGCAAATTGACAATAATATATGGTGCTCATTGACCATTTTGAACCTAAAAGCTGTTCATTTAAAAATTCTAATTTATATTGATGAGTAGTTCCACAGCGTACATAGCTTCTTCTAAAGATAATTTCCTCTTTGAAATTCACTCACCTACCTTCTCTAACTGAGAGGCGAGATTTTCATTATTATCACAGCCTTAGTAATTCTTAGTTTAGTAATTAAAATATGATATTATGAAGAAAATATAAATCAATAACCTGGAATATGAATCACAGGAACTCCACTGAAATATTCACCAAAAAGATTTGAGTTGAGCGTTGCACTCATTAAGATAATTCTGATGTCAGGTCTGTGCGGTTTCATTTCTTTCAAAAATAGAAGCAAAAAATCGCTGAAAATACACAAAAATGATAGTAATGGGTCAATTAAATTGAAATTAAGAATGAGACAAATGAGCATTTCTCTTCTACATTAATGACAGATTACATGATACACCAACAGCTGAAGTTGAAAAGTACGTGAGTACGCACCCCCTATTGAAACAGCGTGAATGCCCACTCATATTTCGTCTAGATAAGGAAAACTAACGAACAGTTTTTCTTGAATTTTTGAAAGATTTAGTCCGATGGTTTTTCTCTTTTCTCTCTTATGCTTTCAAAAATATTCATTGAAAATTTTAAAAAGATATTTTACGTACTAATTCCTTTTGAGAAAAAATGAAATATGCTTAGCAGTTTTTAAACATTACAACATAGATACATATGTGAACTTCCACTGATTCATAATAAGTGACCGTTCATAATGCTCTAAAGAGGAGGAGATATCAAGGCAAGCATTATGCTATTTTGTTTTTATATGTTGAAAGATATGGATCTATATCACAAAAACATAACAGGGGGAGGATAAGGTCGAAAAATTCGGAATTTAGCAGTATGTATTTAATGGACTTGCTTGGATTAAGCATACTTCGAACAATTTAATTTTTATTTTCAGCATGAGAGATGCAAATCAAGGTAAACTATTTTACTTTGGCAAGTTTTGAGAAAGTAAGTTAATACATTCAGTATCTCCTAAACTAAGATAGATAGAGAAAATCAGTAAAAAGGTTTAAGAGGCCATTATTCTCAGCTTTCAGCTTTCTTTTTTTTAGATTTTCTTGAATTTTTTTAAAAAGAGCAATTAGTATAGAATCATTGTTTCTTTTTAATCAATACACCTGAAAATTTAAGGAGCCACCATAAAAGAGACCTTTTCTCCTCCAGGTAGTCAGCTGATAACTTCATATGATGACTAAACTTGACTTAAGGTGATTAGTCAAGCTTCAGTGACGTGGTCGAACTGGCATGCGATATGTCGCATTCATTAGGTCAAATATCTCGGCAGATTTTGAATTTTTAGGAGAAAAAGGACGATAGCCCCTGGGCATGGGCCAGAGGGATCATCCTAAACCCAAAAATTGGCAAAATTCAGAGAAATGAAAGCAGAATAGTGTTTGGAAAAAAACCTCGCATTCGATTCAGCAATCGATTTCTGTATCGAAATCGAGGTTTTTTTTCCAAACACTATTCTGCTACCATTTCTTTGAATTTTGCCAATTTTTGAGTTTAGAATGATTCTTTAGGCTCATGCACAGGGGTTATTGTCCTTTTTTTTTTTTGCTAAAAATCCAAAATCTGCCGAGATCTTTTACCTAATCAATGCGATATATTGCATGCCAGTTCGACCACGTCACTTGAGCTTGACAAATCACCTTAAGATGCAGGTTTCTTGAGTAATTTCATCGTGGCCATTAAAATTCTTAAATTATACAGAGACAATTTTTGAAAATAATTATTAACCTTTCAATACTTCTCTCATGAACCTCATCTACAAGAATATGCGTTACAGAGTTCAGTAATGGATCGTTTTCTAGTCTTCTCAATAGAATCCCTGTTGTGCAAAATAACAGACGGGTGTATGCAGACATGCGACTTTCCAATCGAATCTAACAGAGAGAGACAAAAAACCAAACATTAGGAAAAATTCAGAGTTACATACTTTTAAACATGTACTTTCCAATTTGATAATTCTTTATTTAATAAAGTTTCATTTGAGAGAATTATCCTAAAAAAATTATTAATGTTTATGCACCTTAAACAACATTTAAAAAATGTACAAGAATCAGGAGTAGAGATCGATTCACAAGTTCTTGATAAAATTCTACAATTCTCTGTTTGTGCACAACACTAGTAAGCCACCATTTAGCTGGAAAATTTTTTAAGAGGGTAATAGGCAAAATTTCTGCTCACGGCTATGCCAAGCACATGTGTGATTTTACAGAAGAATAAAATTAGGGAATGATATTACTGATAAGATGAGTGCACTCCTAAAAAACTGACCTGATAACCAACAGTATGGCCTATTCTTTCTGCTCGTTCGTCTGCCACTCTTTCACTCACTCCAATAGCGGATATTTTGCGTGGCTGTGTGCAAACAATGTTTATATGATCACTGGTATCGGGATCGTCTGAACACTGTTTTTCCAGCCAATCATCAAGAATGAATTGCGGAACCTAGATTTTGGAAGGCAGGAAAAAGTTAATCAAATAACACACAATTAAATAAACATTGCTAACAAATATTCTTTGAATATGGGAGGTGCTTTGGAGAAATCCAAGTAGAATGAGCCCTCACAACTTATAGTCAGAGATAAAAAAATGAGAATATAAGCTCAAAGAGGGTGTTCTCTAGAATATTGCACAAATATTTGAGGTCTTGTAAGGTACGTTTTCTTTTTTACGTTCATTCTACCACAGATTTTCTGGTAAAAAAAAAAAAAAAAAAAAAAAATTATTTTCTTTAAAGGAAATAAGTGCAGCTCAGAAAATATCAATAAAACATTAGTGCAGCTGCAGTAATTTACACAAAAATCTGTGTCTGAGCAGTAATGTGTTATATTTCTATCAAAAGAAGGATTCACTTCTGATAGTTATAATTTGCTGATGCCATTTGAATTAAGATTATCACGGGTAAGAGAGGGTGTGTCCCGTGCGTGGCATGTCTTTCAAGATATGTTCAGATGTGCAAAATGCCTAAGTTTTGACACACCTTAACACACTATGTTTTAATGGAAGAAACTTCATGAAATATTTCTTGTACCTGAGTACTTTTACCACAGCCAGTCTCACCGCTGATGACGACAACCTGATGTTTCTCTAGAGCACTCAAAACTTCATCTTTCTTGGACCATGCTGGAAGATTTTGCCGCTGATTTTTCATTTTTTTATAATGCAAATCTTGTTGTTTGGTCTGAAACTGTCTTAAAATAAGGTCATTCCTGAAACATATTACAAATATAAGAAATTATTATTCATTACTTGAGACAAGAAAAATTGATAGCACGATGCTGTAGGAGAAAAAGTACATGTCCTCTCTCTTACACTCATTACGTTACATTTTCTAGTGTTAGACTCAAATCAGATGAAGTTGCGCGTCACTTGCAATGCCAAAATAATTGATTTCTAAGAGACACATGTGACATTGGATGTGAGCAAGAAGAAAAAATCCGACCTTTGTTTTCAAACATTCAAAATTAACATGAGAGTGTATCTTGTTAAGTGCAAAAAAAAATTTTCGACATAAATTTATGTGGTCTAGAAGGAGAGTAAACTTGCGGCAGAGCAAAAATTACTCAAGACTTAACCAGGGTGCACCTTGATGAAATTTTTTGTGCCAGTGAATTACAAAAGAAGGAGCAAAAAGAGTAAAAATATTGAATGAAAAACACTTACTTTGCTCTATCACAGAAGTCAGATCGATTTTCAGAAGCAACTCTTGACTGCCTAGGAGGCTTTATGCGCTCATCTTCTAATTCTTTGGCAGACAACTGACCATTCTGACCGATCAAAGAACTAATGCTATCAGGAAATATCACAGAGTTTGTTTCTGAAACCACACATACCAATGAAAGGGAATGTTGAAGGAGATAATAGTTGAAAATCTGTGCGTTGTTTCGATTCAAACTATGGTTTTCAAATACACTTTCTGAATTTAAAAAAACTGGTTGACTTTCAAATTTAAAACTAATGGCAATGCGTTAGTAAATTCCTATCACACAATATAAAATGAAGGAAAATAGTTTTTAATTTTCCTTGGACTTGATTAACTGTAATTTTGGATGTTATGATTAGATTTCGAATGATTAATTTTTGGAATTTCTTTATTTAAATTTCAATCGTTGGCTTCAGGGCAACAAGTAAGTTTTAAATCTTTCATGTATGTCTGACAACTGATCGTTGAAAGGAGGATTTTTCACTATCAAAAACATTATATTTTCTTTGGTAAATGCGTTAAGTCTATAAAATGAAAACCCTAGACGTCAACATTTCATCGTAACATGGCTACTTATACAATATTTTGCATGTCATGGAACATAAATACTCCATCATCATTCCATAATGGAATATATGGAACACCTTTCTATGGAGACCTTTTCTTTTTCTCTCTTCTTTTTTTCTGATTATTTCTGTACTTAAAAGCAAAAAATCATTGATTGGCAAAAGATATAAATTGTAGGAAAACATTAACTGCCTCTTCAAACTTCGCTTCTGTGATACAACAGAACATTAGACGACATCAAGAATAAAAAGAAAATTGAAGTTAGCATACTTAGGAAATGGATTATGTCTTCATGCCTGTGGACAAGATCAATAAGAGAAAAAATACACGGCTCTCCATATTCAACCCCTCTCATAGTTTCTTCAAATAAACAATATGATATATACAAGGATATTTCTGGGGGAAAATTTTCATTCAATGCTATTACAGTTACAAAAGGCGGTTCTTTAGGATATTGGCAACCTGCAAACAGAGCAAAAAGTATAATTCAGAAACACAATCTATAATAGCCTTAGAAACACTTTAACAAAGGTTCTTTTTGCTCTTATCATATGATTTAAATGCAGAGAAACTAAATATGTAACCCTCAGAAGAATAAACCTTTCGGAAAGGGCGGACACAATGTGGAAACTTATATTACTCATATCTTCTGTAATACAAAACATTGAGGTTTAAGAGTGGTTTCATTGATTTGGATATAAAATTTCTCTAAAAATCACCCCTTAAAATTTTGCATTGAGACAAAATAAACATGAAAATTTGTAAGTTTAGTCAAAAATGTCTACATTACACTGGTATCAATTAATTCATTTTCCGTTTTTTCAGACAAAGGTCCCTTCTCTTATGCAAGGTGGCAAATATTTGCCATAGGAAAAAAAATAACTATACTGCAAAGGCACCTTGATGAACTTACAGAGTACCAAAAACCCCACTTTTTTACAACAAGTAAAATTTAAAAGAGAACATTTACTTCCAGACATATTTAAGACGAAAAAATACTTTAAAATCATTTTTAAGGATGCTACCAAAAAGATTATGTTAGCCTCATAAAAAGTATAGACTTTTAAAGGAACAAAAATTACCATCAGGAAACCTGATTTCGATTTCAAATTTAGTGACTTGCTTATCATCCTCTTTCTCCACTTTCGGAAGTTCGTGTGCAAACCTGCAATTCTTGCCAAACCTACAGGGTTGATTTCTTTCAAAAAACCGGCATACGTTTTTCCTGACATGGTGGTTTTTTTCTGGTGCCTTTTTTTTCAAGTTTAGTCCAAGTTTTTCAAAGAGAACATAATGCGTGATTTCTGGAAGATCAACCGTGACTGTCCACAGCTTATTCGTAATTTTTTCATTAACTTGATTCTCGTAGATGGATTTCAAAGAGTCCAACTCATCCCTTCTTAGATCCATGAGCTCTTGGGGCACTTTACATTCAGGGTCAGGGAGTTTAATGGGGAAATATTGGGTCAAAAGAAACTCAAAAGCTTTTCCAACATCTGAGTCGCTGACTGTTAATGCTTCAGAACAATGCTTCTCATGGAATCCATATCTGAAACAAAATGAAATCATAATTATAAGGGAAAATATGTAATAGAGTCAATCTGACACAGATTATTTTATGCATTTGTTCTGTAAACTCACCCAAAGATGTGTCACTTTCTGTATCAGTTTTAGAGATGTCATCACTTGTCAGCTAACTAGGGCGTTCAGTCATAAAATTAGCTTATGTTGAACGACACTTGTATTAGACCAAATGGACTACATTTTGCAATAACGAACTATCATCTCTGCCTTATTGTAGGAACAGTGTGTGTGCCATTAGCTCCTCTATGCAGACAGGTGCTTTTATGTATGAACAAGATATTGAAGTTCTCTAATGTAAAATGTAATCCAGATGTTCAAATAACGACTAAAATCTGCTATACTTATACATAAAGCTGTTACAGTGCACCCAAGTATACTACCTTGTACTCAGAATAAAATAACAATGCTATTTTATTTATTTAGGAACATAAACTTTAAACTAATTAAGTGTGCACGCGCACATTGCTATGAGCACAACTTTGTGGTCACTTAATTTTCTGGTGGGATTTGAACTGAAGTTTACAAGTCTTAGACAATGGCAATCAAATTCCTAAAAACAGAAAATAATTTGGTTCAGTTACTTATAGTAGCATTGTAGTATCTATTCTTTTACAGATCTGCCCATTTATCCTGGATAAGTCAGCTTTTTTGGTTAAATAAAAGGGGAAAACTTAAATTTTAAATTCATGCCGAAGGCTTTTTTTCTTTTATTTTCTACTCTCCGAGATGTTTTTGTTAGATGCTCTAACAAAGAAATGATGTAAGTTGTCACTTTTTTATTCTGTTATGAGAAGAAGACTGACACAAAAGAAATATGAGGTAGTTTGGAGTAACTTCCCGTGAGGCAGACAAAAAATTGCAAAGAGAGAAAATACAATTACAGTGAAAAACTCACTTGTGCAGTTTTGCTACAGCAAATGCATGGACTTGTTGATCGGGCGTAGTTTTCTTTCGATTTGGGTCTGCGTAATTTATGAGGCCTTTGATAACGAGCTCCCCTCTATCCACCCAATACTGATTGTTCAGGTTCTTCCCTTTGTCTTTATAAGATGAGGCGTCAGGCACAGCAAATTCCTAAAAAACAATTACAAAACTTATTGTGCCACCAAAACTGACATTTTAAGTACAATAATATTAACAGATAAAAAAAATTAGTTCCAAGAAACAATATACATACATAATTATCACATTGTTTTAAGCTTTTATTTTTAGATTTTTTAATTATTTTTGGCGGTTGATAATGAACAGGAGACCGGCTGAAACGTTCCGTGATTTGTAATTATTGTGTGTTTTTCCGGCCTTGTCCCCACCTTTTCCTGTATATCTGAAATCCTCAAATTAATAAGTACAGGAGACAACTTATTCTCAAAGAAAAGGATCCTATACACACCTCATGGAAACTAGCTTACAGTGAATTTCAGTACTTCATACTCTCATTTAGAACAAATTAAAAATATCATGGGATGACCTATTAAAGGACTTCACAAACCTAAAAGGGGTCACCATTTGTTTTTGGGAGGGACTGGTCTTTGTGGATTTGGCAAAACATTCAAGTGCTTAAGATACACTGGCTAAATGTTGCAGAGTAGATGTTAAAAATGGCATTCTTGACTCAGCAAATTCCATAAAGTTTCACTATACACTAACTTCTAACAGTTACGGTTTACAACATGAATAGAAGGGGCTTGGATGGTGTTTCCTACTCCTTATGTTGGCCGTTGGCAGTTATTCTGTTGAAGCAACATCAAAAGACTTAGGTAGATCATTACAGAGATGGAAAACTCTTTGAACACCCAGTCAGGGCCGGACAAGCAGGCGGGAACACCAGGAAAAACACCAGTCGTCCAGTGGATAATCAAGGTGATTTTGGGTAGGTTCACACCATTCATACGGCAAAAAACAACTAAAACCGGTCGATCTGAGCTCTGATGTGTCAATATTCTTGGTCACTTTCTCAGTGCCAGTCCACTCCTGCATCCAGTAATGCGCATCTCAAAGTTGCGCCCCTTCTTCAAAGGAGAAAAAGGGCACGAAGTTACAATGAGGTAGCATACAGGAGATTTGTGGCAATGCAAAGTAAGATTCTCAATTTTTTAGTTTCACCATTGATATGACTCCAAACCTCCTCATTTCTCAAAATGAGGGTTAGCTTTGATAGGAAAATCAATTCACCCACGTTTCAGAAATGTCTTCCTTTGACGGGACAACCTTAAAAGAAGATAGACACAATGCTTACCTGCCCTCTTGCTCTCTTCAGTGTGTTCAAGATCAAGTCAACCGAGTCCTTTGAGAGGTCTAAATTGGTCATTTCACATTTCAATTTTGTTGGTGGCTCTTGAGGTCTGAAATAAGTGTAAAAATCAAATATTAAAATGAAGTTTTGATGTGTAAAATATTTGCAAGGGTACGGAAATGTTACAATTTTGATTTAAAAAAAGAGAATTCGATAACTGGGCTAGAACAAACATGCCTACATAGATTCCTCTTACTTTATTGATCAATCACTGTGTCACCAGTGCTTCACACAATAGTGAATATTTGTTTAACAAGTGAGTAACTGATGGGTGCACATGGGTTCTTTACCTACACACATGCATTTTTACATATGGGCATTCTAGAATTACTAGCCTCAAAACCTTTTTTCTGATTATGCTGCTATGGTTAGCTCTGCATGACCACTGAGCCTTAAAAATCATCACTAGCATGGTATTTTGATTGTGAAGTGTTTTAACAAAAACAAATGAACATATGAAAAAAATAAAATGAAAGCATTAGACTGAGGAAAAAATACACAGCAGGACAATATTCAACAAATACTTACGCGCAGCCCCATTCATCCAGGACAGGTTGTTTGACAACAACTTTGGCAGGGGCGACTTTCGCAGGGGTGATTTTGGCAGGTGCTTTAGCTTTTGGAGCATTTTTGATAGTGACTTTGGGAGGTGGTCTAGTTTTAGCTTTAGCATCTTTAGCTTTAGCATCTTTTTTCCTAACAGAAAATCCTTCATCCTGGAGGCAGTCAATGCTTGAACCTCCTTTCCTCGACATGCTGTGCAATATTCTATTCTCTGTCTTTTAAATAAGATTAAACAAGAAAAAAACAGAATTAGTATCAAGGCAGTATGACAAACAGCAGGATGAATAGTGATTTAGATTGCTTTTAACTTGCCATGCTAATGGTTTCAATATTGTGTTAACAACTTGCCATAATAAGTAAACAATACACACCATTTGGTGGTAATGGTTGTACAACTGTTGGTCTCATTTAACAGGAAACCAGCAGCTTATAAATAACAATTCTTTTACTGAAAATTAGACAAAAATCCAGAAAAAATTTCCCTGTAGAAATGTTTACAGATCGAAGGCTTTCAGGTTCTTCCACAATTAGAAATATCAAGCACCATGCCAGGTTTTGAATTTCTACGCATTGTATGAAGAGCAAAGAGGGCTTTTTTGTAATCCATGGAACGTACTTATGGAACGCAATGGATCAGGATCTTCGTGATTTGGGCTGGTTCAACCGGCCTGACCGCGGCCTCAACCCACCTCATGAGAGCGGTTCAAGCGTTCTACTGGAACGCATGGATAGCACAGGAACGGGATAAAAAAGTGATGCGTTCCATAGTGATTCTCTGCAGTTTGGATTTAAAAAAAAGCCCTAATGAAAGCAAGTGTCACTTAATCTGACACAAGTTCTGGCAAGAAAAAGGTCTGAGATGTCTTGATCACGTTCTGTGATTACTAGAGACAATGAGTATTCTGAAGAATGAAGAAAATTCCGAAATGTACCTAGTCTAACTCAGAAATCAAGAAAAGCCGGACGAAAATATAATATCCAGGTAATCAACATCCATTTCCAGTAAAATGATAAAACCAAATCCAAAAGTATCTGAGTATTTCAGCTTAAGAGCTCTGTTCTTTTCGCTAAATGTTCAACTTCTTATCCTGTTGTATAGAATTGGAGCTATTTGGTGCTCTGGGTATTTTTTTTTTAACTTGGGATCAAACCTGCATTATTCAGGAAATCAAATGAGGTGACAAATCAAAATTGGTATTTTTACCCAAATTTCACCCATAGAGTGCAATAGAGTAGTAAGTACTAAGTATGGAAGCAACGATGAAGTCACGTACTGTAAGACTGTTTTGTCCAGTACCCTTTGGACTGGCGCACTGCGACTGACGATGCCATTGCCATTTACGCAGGTTCCCAGCTCCTGGCTTGCCTTGAGGTATTTGAGCAAGAGATTTTTAACAAAAAAACCAGGAGATCCGTACATTTCTTAACTTATCATTAGATTGATCAAAATTAATTTCCAAAGTTTATCATAACATCAATTAAATTAATACTTAGATATATCCCAGAAAACACTTGCAGCCCACAATTAATCCATAAGCTACCATATAGTATAAACTGCAAAATCGGTACTAGCTTCCTTTTAACGCTTAGAAAACGAAGACCAGGGAACCACCGTTTAAGGATTGACTTCAGCGATGCTCCGTTAGGTACATGGGAACTAAAGAATACTCAAAGGTTTCACCTTCGGTAGGGGGAAACTTTTCCTGCAATCTATGTAAAGTTTACTTGTCCAGTATTCTTGGCAAAGCCATCTTTTTATCATTTAACGTCTTACCTGGGTTAAGTTGATGGGTGGAGGAGTGCCAGCAGTTTCAGAAGAATTGATATAGAAGAAACAAGTTCGAACCTCACGATCCACTGCTTCACAGGAAATTCCCCCTGCCTAGCGCAATCAATACGATAATCTTGAACGAATACTACTTGTAAATTTTAGATTATTCAAAGGCCCAAGCATGAAAGAACATAAAATTGGAGAAAGAGAGAGCGTAGTTCTCATGATGAACACATATTAAAAAAAAGACTATTGTGATACTTCAAAGGCGATGGAGTCATATTATAAGAGGTCTCACAATTATTTAACTCAGGAACATAGATTTCAGAAAAACTAAACCTAAAAAGAGGACTCATAAAAAAAAATAGCTGATCCTGTTCGGAGTCCGAAATTCCGAATGAATTCCGAAAAGTGAGGTTATGTTTACGATTATGGAAAGTGTTGAATGTTGAATTCTACGTCACATGACGTCATGCGGGTAAGCCGGTAGACAGCGCCATCAGCAATCAGCTGAGTGAAGAAGAATAATTTATCTCCTCTCGGAATTCAACCCTTTTTCTCTTTTATCTTCGCCGCTAGGCCGGAATCTCCGAGGAATGTGTCCTGCTTAGCGCCAGGCGCCTGATGAGTTGAAGATATTTGGACCAATATGTTTCAAACAGGATACCTACTCACAGCCTCTTACCTTTATACAGCACTAACATACAGGGCCGGATCTAGGGGGGGGGGGGGGGGGGGG